GTTACCAGCCACTGATGAAAACTTGTTGGAGAAAGTTACAGCAATTTATGCCTTATCAAATGTTGCTTCTGGTAAGACTCGACGGCTTATCGCCATTGGATCATTTAGTATAAGTGCGCGTGTTGCTTGTGTCTTTATTATCTCTCTCGTTCATTTGGGTCTTTTCCATCCGTAAAAGATGTCGACTTTGCTCATGTACTCGTCAACTTATGTTACCTGCGCACTCTTGCAGGCAATCCCAAGGTCCCTGAGGCTATGGAGGGTTCTTCAACTGAGATCGCTTCGAACTTTATTCTGATTTGGAGTCGTGAACGAAATGATCGGTACTACAGTATAATCAACTGTGAGACAGGAGTGTTCCATACACAAGGACAAAACTGTGAGGGACATAGAGTGCTTTGCATGACGAGAGTTGAAAATCGAACTTGGCTTGGCACGGAGGTAAATAAATTTTGTTATTAATTGCAAACAAGCTGAAAAGAAAAAACTTCTTCTTTGCAGTACTCAGGAGTGGATATGATTAATTTCGAAACTGAGAGAAAAAAATTGTTCTAGTGTTGCTTTTAGTTTATTTTTAATGTCTATAAGAGTGTAAATCTGACAGGGACCATTTTTGTAGGGGTGCACTATAGAGGTGTTCGGACGGACGTCCTGGCGTAATCCCTCAATTCTGTGGTCGTATACCACTAAGGCTCCAGTTCTTGCGCTGTTGACGGAGTATTTTCCTACAGATGAGGACCTTCCTGAAAAGGCAGAGCTTGAGGTATAGCTACAATGTTTTTTGTGTAATATTGTCACTATGATATAGTTGCCATGGTTTTGTGTTTTGTATTCGTACATTTGTATGTCGCAGCCAGCGTTAAATTCTCTTCCAAGGGAGCTTCCTCATTATGCACTAGTGGTGTTTAAAATGGTTCCCTTCGAAGCTACATAGAGAAATGGACACAAAGGCAACTGAAGTAACCTCGCTAAAATGTAACAATTCCAGTACCTTTCAAAGGTGAATGGGAAAAAATACCTTTGGACGGAATTTGGCCTGGATCAAACACGTCCATTTAGTTTTTTAACTTCCAAGATTAGAGTATCTTGAACTTCACATTTAATTGAGGTTTCTGTCTTTTTTCCATTAATAGAGTGGCACAAGAGTTAAAAGTGTATTTGCTTCCCTTGCCAATGGTACCCTGATAGTGTTCACTCCTAAAACTAGATTAGCACGAAGATTTTCGCATGCTGATGTCACTCTAGAAACGAAAGGCGAGGATGAACGGTTGAAAAAGGAAAGTGACAAGTGGTCTAACTTTCAGGTTTGTTGTGTATGTTGTCGTTTTTTTCAGTTGCGAGAAATACTAAAGGAGAAAGACTTTACCCTTTGTCACATTAGAAATGAGAGATTGAAACAGTTTGTTGTTAACGATTGCACGTTATACTGCGAACATGGTATTACACATAAGTTCACAACATGTACACGTCTAACGACAATGGATTATTCTTGGTCAAAATTCATTTACTTCTTAGCCGAAGACCATTCTGGTGGCACTAACAGGTTGTGGGTTACTCTTTAGTGATACATAGCTGTGTTCACTTATTGTAGGTTGTTAACCTTGGTCAGTCTGGTATGCCCACCAAATGTATGGTTCTCGTATTCAATAATAAAGAACTGTGGGTTGGATGCGGCAACAAGATTGTGATAGTGGATACCAACACCTTGGTCATTCTGGACGAGATTGCGGTGTACCAAACGCAAAGGACGCATGTCCGGATCATGGTAACGGACGGAACACGTGTTTGGTGCGCGGACAGGAGGTCATCGAAAATTTTACAATGGGAAGTTAGCAGTCGTCAGCTGACCAATATTTTTGACTGTGATGTTAACAGTCCAGTTGGAAAAGTTTTAGACACAAACATAGTAGAGTCCCGCCGTTTCACTTCAAGAAAAGGTGATGATGAACGCTCTTCCCGTCGTGACAGAACAGTCAGTGACCCACCTGATATGTGCGAGCCCTCTTTCACTGAATCGATGTTTAAAGAGGCGATGGATCGTAGTATCAATGAAGAAGGCGACGAAACAAACTCTTTGCGTAAAGAGGATTCACTTCCTCGTCGAATTGGTTCTGACTTTGGTCGAAATACAACAGAAAATGATCGTCATGAGGATTCTAAAAATATGGATTCTAAACAGGTTCAGGCATTTTCCCGTTCTCTGTCCCTACCAGCGGAAACCGTCTCCGATGAGGGTGGAATTTCTTCTTTTTGTAGCACAGATACAACGAAAAGTATCACAGTTCTTGCTCAGGCTAGCAGTACCCCGCAGGAGTCTCACGCTCAAACCGAAGATTTTCAAACAAACGAAGATTCTGTTTCAGTAATTTCCGAAAATGTTCCAACTTTAATCGAAAAAACAGCGACAATCGATAATATTCGAAACTCCGGCGAGGAAGTCATAGAATCGAGATGCGACGCTACTTCCAATCATGGCAAAAGTGATGCATTATCTATGACATTATCAGTTGAAACTATTCCTGAAATTACAATTGAAGCCCAGAGACAGACAGGAGACAACAATGTTGAAGATGAAAAAGAGACCGAAACAGTAACCAGAGAAGCTGTCGACAAAAGGGAAGGTGCAGATTTTGAGCTCGTTGACCGCGAAGAAACTCGTCAAGCTTTCATCGAAGGTGCACGAAAAAGTTTAGGCTCTGAAAGCTCGATATCCCGTCCATGTGCTTCTATGACGTCGTTAAGGCAGCCTTTCAATTCACCTTCTCGAACTCCCTCGCTTATGAGTTCAACCAGGAGAAAATCTCAACGGCGACAGGAGAAAGATGAAGGCAACAAGTCACCACTTAGTAAACCGTGGGCAGCGAGACCTAGGATACGAATACTTGCTGGCACAATTAATCGTGTGACAGCACTTTCGTTAGTGAATGGCACGTTGTGGATTGGACGAGGAGTTGGTGACGTGCTAACACTGAACGTCAACTCATTTAATGATGATGTTCCTTTGGGTCTTGTGTTCGCTCAACTCGAGAGTGACAATCTTCTAGGTTACGAAAATGGTCAAGTGGATGAAATTGTCAGCAGTGGCATGGACAAGGTGGTCTGTTTGCGTCGGCTGGAGACTCCAAGAGGTAGCGTGAATACTACAGAACGCGGTTTGGAGCGCTATCAGTTGGTCCTGTGGGAGGCCTGGGGAGACACGGAGTTTAGAAAATTTAATTCGCGGCTGGAGGAGTTTAACTCCTTGATTCCGTAATCAATGCTACTATATTATAGCATGTTAATATGTTATAGCATGTTACTATGTTATAGCATGTTATTATGTTGCCACAAAATCCTTTAAGAGAGTTTCTTTGCATGACTATTCCTCGTGTTCGTACTATATTTACTTCCCCTTCTGCAAAAGTTCGAAGGAAACTAATTTGACAACACCACTTAATAATTCCTATGTTATACTTATACTGAAAATGATACGTATGATAATTATATTGATGACAAGAGGGAGATGAGAGATTTTTCTAAACAAAAAGGGCTTAAAAGTCCGTTAAAAAGAGGAAAATGATGACTTTTTATGTACGAGTTCCTAATGTACACACTACAACGTTTATCTCTCTCTGACTACAACCGTGCAAGTTGTTCATGACAGTACCAACTGTCACGTGTGTTACCATGTTTCGAGGACTTAAAAGTAATGAAAATGGTTGGCTTTTACTCCCATTTTAGTTAGCATTGTAATTTCTAAGTTGTGAGCCATTAGTTTGATTTAATGCGACGTTAGCGTTATTTATAGTACAGAATACACAAGATTGTTAAAAACTAGTTTTATTTAGTCAAGCAATTTTACAAGAAGTAGTAATTTTGAAGATTCGAAATGTATTGCTCGACGGGTAATTGTATTTTAGACTATTAGTATTTAATTTGAGCTGGTTTTGGTTTTTCTAGAACAATTTTTATCGAACGAATGAATTCTTCGAAGTGTTTAGCGTTTGTTTTGTGATTGGTTGTTGCTTAGCGTAGCTGCAGTGTGTGGCTTTAAAACAAGACGAGATGTCTGAGAGAATCTACCGCATAATCACATATTTCTAATAGTGGGAAATTTGTGGGGACAAATTTGGTTTCAACGAATATTTTAAGTCTTCAATGATTGCCATCCCTAGCCTAGATCTTTGGATTGCTTGTTTAAAAAAAAATGAACTTAAGAGTAACATTATAGATTTGATACCTGTTGGATTTCATCTCGTGATTTTTGTTGTATTCAAACTCAAAATATCAGTCACGTTACGTAGTGTTTCGTCAGCACATTTGTCAGCACTTTGAGACGATACCAACAAGCTAATGGTAGCTTGATGCGTACTAACCCAGTAGTCTCCAGGCTTTTAACTGCTCTCCTTCATCAGTAATTACACAAAGCCAACTTAGATGTGAAGGATAAAAATCTAGAAGGCCAATCCAAAAGACAGACGTAAAGTGAGACTAAATTTGCTGGCTAACAGTTAGAGAGAGTCTAAATCGTGTCTAAGACGTGTGCAATAGCTGAGACCTTATTAAAATTACTGTTTTCTGACCAATTTTGCGATCTTATTGCGAATTCTATGTTTAAAATGTCATTTTGTTTTATTTTATTTGTCGGGTGTGTTATCCCGACGATTACGTGAAGGCCTGCTTTGTTAGATTTCATTGACACAAACGAGTGGTCATTTTAATACCTCATGCATTACACAGTGTTTAAATCAGTAACAGCAGTTGATTCTTCAAAAGGTGGTAGGCCACAACCACGCAATTATATTGTTCACGGGTATTGTTGGTCTGATATCAATTTAAATAACTGACAATATACCTATTTTTGCGTCGATTACGTTATGTAACATATTTGTTTGGTTAGCGGTTGCTTTCGTTTCTTGACGCCTCTTAGTCATAAGCTTTGACCTTGTATCCCTCACTGCTTTCACTGAAACACACATAAAGATAAATATTCTAAACTGGCTCCTGAAAGTCAACAAGCCATGATCCACTCTTATGGTGAAACGTTATCGTGCGAGGAAGAAATAGCATTGCAATATAGCAAACCTCCTAAAAATCAACAAGGGAAACATTTGGCAATGCTAATTGTGAACCAAAATAGTTCACGTGATAAAGGTCATGAATTGTGATAGACCAAAATAAACTGGCATGAGTTGACATGAACTTATTTCATTGTCAATTCTGAATAGCATCACTTCTGGAAAATATTTCATCCTAAACCGGTAATAAAACGTCGAAGGATACGCTGGAAAAGGCTAATATATCAAGTGTATTTCCTTTACACGCACACACATGAACTTCATTACTTATTAAAACATTCCAATGTAATTAGAAGGATATTTTTATGCGTAGTTTAGTGACTGCATATAACCCGGTTGAAGCGATGGAACAGGCTTCGCAAAGGCCACCTGATATGATGTTTCCGGAATTATATGCGATATTGCCGTAAAACAGCTCAGTTCGGTTCAAACTGTCGACCAGTCGTGTTGTTGGAACGTCATATGCCCACTCTATCAAGCTCTGTTGTGCCTGCGGTTGCGCAAAAGATTGTATACAGCGGCATATAGGAAAGATCGTCAGCCAAGCACATCTGGAAACAAATTTTCAGTGTCATACGGTTGTATTGTGATAAACGGTTTGTACTGGGTTTGTTTAGGTGTTTTCTGTTTAGAACTCGAGTCGCGTGTTTTATTTCTTGAGTTCACTGCGGAACTACAATTGCTGTCAGAAACTGAGAGCAAAAGATCATTAATCGTGGTTTTATTCCTGCTTAGGTAAGTTCTCGAACTTAACTCTTCTGTAGAAACTCCTTTAATTTACTAAAGTGGTAAGTATTTTTCTCAAGTGAATTTTGCAAAGCTATCAATGAAGAATAACGAAAAAGTAAATCACGGGTGAGACAGTTGAAAGTACAACTTTAAGTGATAATAATTTGGTTCATTTACAAACATTTCCTTAGGATTTCAATTCTATTTTTTTCCGAGTAGTTTATTTACCGGGTGAAATGTCGCACTAAAGAGTGGTAACCTCTAAAAGATGTGCAATAGGTATGGTTATGACAGAGTGGAATTTTCGAAACGCAGCAGATTCAAGAATGAACGGGAAGCACGAAAACTGTCGGGGATATCATTTCTTTCCTTTCGGTATACTTAGAGTATATTGCATGAGGATTCTATCGTAGAGTACTCGTTCAAATTGTCAAAGCCTTTCAGCAAGGAGAAAAATGGACAATGATTTCTCTGTATGGAGAACAGTCAGCAAAGAGACTAAATTGACTAAATTATGTTTTGACAGCTAAAACCACTTATAAATATTTACCAGATCCTTCAACAGTTGAATTGCTCCAAGGGTGACTGATATTTTACGAGCGTTTTAACATAATAAGGAGCACTAAATAAGGTTGTTAACATTTGTTCCCAATCGGAAGTTGTACAGTGATGAGATAAAAAAAAACCTATCGTACTCACTTCATCATCGTCTTCATCTTTATGAACATCAGTAAAATTATTTTTAGCTCTTTCTGGAAGGGGGAAGCGATATTTGGCAATGGAGGAAAGCCGCCCGCCCAAGATGAACATCATCACTATGTTCCTGTTGGTGGCTATCCATTCACATACTCTTGCTTTAACGTAATGACATTCATAACATATTTGTCGAAAAGACCAAAGCAATAATCGTATTCTAAAGTGATTATTAATCATTGTTCTGTTTACAAACTTCCAAAGGAAAACCACGATGACAGCAAGTGCGAGCCCTTCGGTGACGCCTCCAAACCTGGCCTTAGTTCTATCAGCCGTCACAATAAACGGACTACTAATTATCTTGGGTACACTGGGTAATCTACTGGTACTTTTGGTGATTTTTTTCAACATTCGACTTGCAACACCATCTAACCTACTTCTTGGAAACCTGGCCCTAATTGATTTATTAAGTCTGTTTGTCGTCTCTCCTGGTGGTATCTATAAATATATGTGCAGGAAAGGTTTTTGTCACGTCCCAGAAACGTTTGTTGTGGCAAATCGTGGACTTTCACAGTTTATCGCGCCTGCTGCAGTCTCAAGTTTATTATCGATCGCTGTAGACCGTATTTTATCCATTAAATATCCATTCAAGTACACTTCTATGATGACAAAACGACGTGCTGTCGTCATTATCTCCCTTACGTGGCTGTTAGGGGCATTTATATCAGCTGTTTTTATGGTACTAAACTTTATATATATACAGCCTGCATACTGCACTGTCATCATGTTGGTGACAATATTTTTGTACATTCATATCTTCCTGTTTGCTCTGAAAAAAGAAAGACAGATTGCCAGCTTGCAGATTTCAAACGTGCAAAGAAATACAAACTTCTTACATGAACGAAAGTCGACGAGAACAATGGCAATAATTCTTGGTGTATTTTGTGCTGCATGGATCCCAGCTCTTATATTTTACTCAGTAGTTTTTCCAAGTGATCCACGATACTTCGACATACAGAACTGGATTAACATAATATACTATTTAAATGCCTCTTTAAATCCATACATCTACTGCGTACGAAGCGCTAACTTTCGGAAGACAATGAGAAAGATGGTGAAGTCTTGTATGATTCGTTACAGGTGACAACTGGCCAGGACTATGCAATGACTTTACGGAGTTTTCGAAGAGCCTTGTCACGGCATGGAACATGACACGATAGCCGACAGGAGAAAGATTATATTTGTTATAAAGCTAAGAAAGTTTTAAATTCAAAATTAAACTATCTTTAAATTCAGATATATGCAAAAGTATTTTTTGAAATTTACTGTATGATTAACATTACAGCAATGGTTTCGGAGTGAAGTACATCGCAGGAAAGGTTTCAGAGATCTCTCACCTTTTTAACGAAATCAAAGGAAATCGGTCATAAATTATACCTACTGCGCTCCTTTTCAGCTTGGTTTTCCTCTAAAATTGCCCTCATGTGCCTCTGATCACGAGCCCGATTTGAATCAACATAAAGAGTGCCAAATAATACAAGTACTTTATACACGAACCCGAGGAGCCAGTCTCTACTGGTGTATTGTTTGCTATGAGAATGACCTAGTCCAACCTTTCTGGCGACCAAACACCTAATAATATGTCAGCGGATAAAGAAAAAGAAAGAATAGCCACGGCGAGACAAAAATTGTTACTTTAGAGAAAGTACAAGACCGAGAGAGCTTTCAGACCGGTCTTTACATTGGAAAAATAGAGAAATTCAAACCTGAGTGTCAACAAAGTACCATCAGCTGAGTTGATAACGTAAATTTGCCGCCGAAAAGAGTTTCAGAGAGTAAAGTAAAGAGTTTTACTGTAAAGATTTTCACCGTTAATTGTTTTTTCACCTCTAAGAATTTGTCAACAGGGGTTACGCGGCAGGAAGAGATGACCCGGCCTGTCCACTTCAGTTTATTTTGTCTCTTTGTACGACCCCTGGTTGATTTGTTCAAGTGCATGGGACGAATCACTGCAGTAATAACCTGGAGGTTTGCTTTCCCAGGCTGCACTTGGCGTGGTTTACCTCGAGACTGACCCGGGTCAGTATTTTTGGTGACCAAATACGTCAAAAGAGGAGAGACAATAGTGGTGATAAAAATTATTTCAAACTCGAGTACGACGGGATAGTTGTGGTTCCAGATTTTTGATCTCAAGAAGCCTGAAAAGGCTTCTTGAGATTATGTTTACACGACAAAAATTGATTGAACCTCAACCCTTTTGGTCAGGTCAATCCCGCGTCTTGACAAGGTTCATCTGGCGAGCTGCACCTAAACATTAGCGAATGATGACGGAACATGACAACTGATCTCTGTGTTCCGATTGGTTTGTTGGGTAAAACGGACAGTCAGTGTCGTTAGGTATTGAAATATGAGCGCAATATAAGAATTAACTTTACTTACGCCGTTTCATTTACCACAATAAGAAGTGATCCTTCAAACACTCATAAAAAATTTTCAAGCCCTACAGACGAAGACTTTGGGGTGAGCGGAAGGCAATCTTCTTGAAATATATGTATCTTTTTCATCTTCAATAGAGATGAGTGAGAGATATGTTCAAATCAATAAACTTCGTAACATGTGTGTCAATTGTCGGCGTACAGATAGCCTGGGAATCTTAATGAGACAAATATATAGGCGCAGTTCATTCAACCATGTGAAAATTTACAATATTGTTCGGGCTTGTAATGAGTGGGTGTTTCACTTAATGCATGTGGAAAAAAAACAAGTTGTTATTACATTCTTTGACTACCTCCAGGCAGAGAAACTACTTCACCACGAATTTCAGTCGAGTGAACGTTCAAAAGCGGAGCTGACAGAGGTTAACTGTTCACAGTTGCCAAAGCAAGTAAGGTAGAATCAAACACTAAAGCGCTCTCTTTATCTACAATATTTTCTGGTTTGCGTATAGCAACACTGGTGATAGGCGATTGGGGCCTTACTATTGGAATAAACGTTTTTTACAAGAAACAGTTGTCGTTAACCCATTGGTTGATGACGTTTTTATTTGTTTAAGATGCTATACCAGCTAAGAATGTTTTAAAACAGAAAGCAATTCTCCTATCCAAACGCTGGCTGAACTCACAGCCTGAGCCGCTAAGAATTTCGTCACATCGCGTCGACTGATTATTTAAGAGAATTATTTAAAAATATATATTTCTACATATCCAGTCTCCCTCTAGCAGCTACCAGCCACGGATTTTACATGGCGTCCTCAATAGAGCAAGCCAGTTAATGATATTTTAGCTACGTTTTTCTATCCAATGATTTGTTCTATAAATGGTGAATGTACTATGTTCTTTGAAGATTTCTAGTTATATTCTGTTAT